TTTCCAGTTATCCAGTGTATTTCCAGTGTATAAATTTCAAATTTAGGATTTGATGTACCACTCAAACATTTGATCTCTTAAAATTTTTCCTAGTGATTTCAAAAATCTTATCTTTTGTTATGAAAGAACATACGATAGCCTAAACATCTTTATTAGCTAGAATATTTCTTTTTCTTGGATGTTATAATGGTTCTTATAATTTATACTTTGTGTACTGGCCTAAGTGTGTGTGAACATGAGTGGAAGTTTGTGGGAGTAGGGTTTTGTGCAACTTTTGAGGAAGGTCAGGAGGGAAGTTCATCCAAAGAGCAAATCTTGAAATTTCCCTTTTTGTATATGTGGTTTATTTGTTTTTTAAACACTGTTTGCTCATAGACTTTGAAGAGCATTCTAAATTCATCATATAATTAGATAACTTGAGATTTGCCGTGGGCTGTGAAGACATAATTAATTATATGTCATTAAATTATTTTCTTATAAATCAGTTTTCTTTTTTAAATTTTTAAATTTAAATCATGTTTTATATTATATATATATATATAATTACTCCTGATGCCCCTTGATCTCCATGCTCTCAGCAGGCCTCCAAACTGCACACATTATTGCCTCATTGTGATGTGGATTTTAATATATGACTTTTATATATAATTTATCTGTGCTTTTTTCAGTTGAGTGGCAAGGCCATTTATATAAAATAGGATTGATTCTGAAATGTAATAGCAGAGAAAGAATTGAGAATAAAAATCTAGGTTACATTTGGAACATTACTGAAGTACCTTCAGTTATGTCATATAAAGGCTATTCTTGGTCTCAGTTTATTCATCTGTGAGATAGGAAAATTGGTCAAGATGACTTCTTATCCTCCTTCCTCCCCCTCCTCCCCCTTCCCCTCCCCCTCCTCCTCCATCACACAGCTAGTAAGTATCTGAGGACAGACTTGAATTTAGGTCCTTCTCACTCCAGGGCCAGTGCTCTATCCACTGTGCCACTTAGCTGCCCTGGACAAGATAATTTCTAAGTCCCTTTCTAGCTCTAAAATTCTATGGTTCTATGAAGAAGCAAGGAAGCAAATAAGTAAGGCACTTATGCCTGGTGCAGTGAACAAAGCCCTGAGTTGGTAGTTTGAGGACCCAGTTTCAAGTCCCACCTTTAATACAAGGTTGCCTTATGACTTGTAACAGGCTGTTTAACTTTCATGGTCCTCGTGTTTAAAATGCAAGAGATTAGAACTGATGGCCTCTAAAGATTCCCACAGCTCTAGATGTATATGTGATTCTGCAATTCTGTGACATATTGAGGCACTCTTCCACTTCCTAAGGGTCTCTTTACCTGGCTCTTCTATTGCTCATAGAGCTTTCATTATACCACCAGGAGCTACCTTAGCAACTGTGAAATAGTTCACCAGATTATACATACTTCAGCTGACAGAAAACATTGAACATATTAGCAAACATTTCTGAATTACTGATGTTTTGATAACAAATAAATAAAGATCCCTCTTATCAGGGAAGATTTACATCTTCCCAATTGATAAAGTCTCAATAGTGTAGACAGCCTGGGTCCTCTGGCATTTGTTCACCTTGCCGTACTATGATCAGTCCATTCCTGCTTTGTGAATATTTACACCAAATTTATTGTCAGCTATTGTAGCTGCATAACTCTTCTAATGACATTGAAGTAAACCTAACAAGATAGACCAGTCATATCTTTTTGACACAATAGCCACTGAATAATAGAATTCCAGAGGTATAATGGAATAGAGAAGGCATACAGTGCCCCCTCCATTTTACATGGGGAAAAACTAAAATTTGACCAAGTTTTACTTATTTTATTAACTTTACTAACTTTACTAACTAACTAGTAAGTGACAGAGACTAGACTTATTTCTTGATTCTCATTCTAGTGATCTTCCCACAACATTTTGCCTTCCACTAACATCTATAAACCTTGTCCCTCTATTCTTCTTAGAATATGTTTAATTTGATCCTCCAGTAGCTTTTAGATTCTAGTCCTTGAGCCATGTACAAAATGGATATGAAGAATTTGTGCAATCTAAAACTTTAACTTTGGATATAAATGTGATGTAAACAAATAGTAAAAAACAAAAAAGCATGAAACCTGAAAATATAAGACACTACCCAATAGTCATCAGGGAACGTATCAGACTCTGAACCATATTGGACATCCAAAAACATGGCTTCCAATTGTAGTATAGTAGGCACTGAATATACTGGTTAAATTAATTAGATGTACCATTGAGCTGTCTATGATATCAAATGAAACACATTTGTTATTAATAGCTAATTTCCTCATGTGGTATAAATTGGGCCTTAATCAACTAAGAAACGAAGATCTTGAAGCATATAGATTTGAACTCTTGATTTAAAACTTTGAGTTATGTTTATAAATGTGTGTTGTTTGTTTCTGTCATTAATATAATCAAAACTTTTAATAATAGTCACAAAAAAATGTAAAAAAATGACCTTGAGATGTACAAAGTGATTTTCTTTAAGGTAAACATGAAAGCAAAAAAAAAATTCCTAAAGTTTAAAGGTGTATGAGTCTGGACCTGTGGCCTTAAAATATAAAGTTGTGTGAGACCTATAAGTACTCTGCCTTTTGAAGATATGGAAGTAGTAGACAGTAGAGGACAACTAGATGAGGCTCATAAAATGCTCTGTTATAGTCTTGTATAACAGTTTCTCCCAAGGCTATTAGGAATGGAATATGTACGGTGGGCAAAAAGTATACACTCTGAAATATTTGTTATGACATTTTTATGTATTTTTCACCATATATCCATTTCTTAAAATATGTAGACCAGAGATTCTTAAGTTTTTTATGTCATGTAACCCTTTGGCTGTCTAGAAAAGTGTAAGGACCCCTTCTCAGAATGAGGATTTTACATGTATAAAATAAAATATATTAGATATAAAGGAAATCAATTATATTGTAATACAGTTATCCAAATATTTTTTAAAAGCTCACAGACTTCAAGTTAAGGCTATACCTTAACAATGGTTACACGAAGGATTCTTTTAAGTCCTTGTGAAATAACTTATTCTGAATACGGTAATAAGAAAACAAAGTCCCATCATGCTTCCAGACAAAATTAAAAAAATACTGATACAACCTCATAATGAAGCATTTCCAGATTAGGAATATTCTAGATATGGTTCAGAAATTATTACCTCAAAGAAGCCATACACAGAGAGACCCACAAGTAGCTTCTGGTGATTTCCCAGAAAACAATGTATTCACATTATCTACAACATAAGAAAGTGCTCCTAACAGCTAGCGCCATTGTCAGAATTTTCATGATATCAACCTGTATAAGAGTAAAGAAAGAACCAAAATTAAAATTGTTGCAAAATGTCCAGTAAACTATGTTCCAAGAACAAGCAAAGTTTTAAAATGTAATGTTTTATCATTGTATGTGTGTGTGTGTGTGTGTGTGTGTGTGTGTGTGTGTGTGTGTTTCAAACCTCTGATTTTATCTATGTGAGCAATCCACAGTATGGAAACCCCTTCGACCCATGCAGATCTTCAGTTAGGTTGCAACTTATCTAGTCTTAGAAAGTTACCAAGGGCACTGAGGCGTCAAGTACTTTGCTCATGTCCACATTGCCAAGTATGTGTCAGAGGCAGGACTTCTGACTCCACTCTCCACTAGGCCACCTTTACAATGGAATCATAAAATTATAGAAGTTTAGAGTTAGAAGAAACCTCAGAAACCAGCCAGTGCAAGCTCTTACCCATTGTGAGAATCCCATCTATAGTATTCCACAGACAATAGCAAGCTGCCCTTCAGACTCCTCTTGACCCACATAACCATCATGTGGCTTAATTTGGAGCCCAAACAACTGATTTTGGCCTCTTTCAATTTATTATGTCACACCTTAAACCTTTGTTCATGTGCTCAGATATTATTAATTAACAGAAATGTGGGTAATCTTTAAAGTAATCATTGCCAATAGCAGAGATCCATGCAAGAGATACCTACAGTCATTCCACTCACTTGTCCTTTGTATCATGGAAGCTTTAAAGAGTATTTAAGTTTTGCAATATCATTACCTGAAACAAATGTTCATCCAGTTGTTATAAATAGCTGATCTTCACATATGCATCATAATAAAGGAAATCATTTCTTCTCTGAGACAGCAGGAGATAAAATCAAATAACAAATGGTTTGTTTGCACCATTCATTCTACAATGTAAGATTATCACAGATCCTATGAACTGATAAATCTAAAAGGTATTTTCCTTGATGCCTATTTATCATCATAACTGCAGTTGTTCTGATTATGTTCTAATCATGCTCCAACCAAGAATAGGCTGTTTTGAGCTTTCTGTGCATTCTGTAACTTACAACACTGATTAAAAAAGATTGGTGCTAATCTTAACACCTCGGTCTTGATTGCTCTGAAAAGAATTCCTCTTTTTGCTAAGGAATGTGCTTAAGGAGACTAGAAAACAACAACTCAGGTCTTTTCTGAGACTGTTTCCCATGAGCCAGTCTGAGGAGTTACTGTAGCCAGCCAATATGAGGATTTCTTTTCTGTCTTCTTACTTTCATAGGAGCTGTTTTGCCCATTAAGAGTATGTTCATTCTTAAAACAAAAATGGGACAATCCATGAGTAAGAAAGCTGCATTTTATTATTCATTGATCACTTTTTCTGCAATTTTGAAACCTATGATAAATTTGAACGTACATATCAAATATATTTCCTAAAAGGGCTTTCTTTGGCTGTTAAATCTTTAAATGCAGCATAAACATGTCTATGTCTTTTATCCCCAATTAATAATTGCTTTAAAATAATTAACATGCTTTCCTTAGAGTGGACATGTTTGAATTTTGAATTGTCGTTATAAAAATTGTAAAGTCCTAAGATGGGTACTTTGACTAAATATGCAAAGTTCCCTCCCCACTCCCCTTAAAAGCCACCTTGAACCAGGCAGGTTTGCAACATTTTAAACTGGCACTTCATCCCTCTTTCAGCAAGCATCCTCTGCAGATTTAATGATCAGGAACATCCTTCTGATGCATGCTGGGAGATATGGCTGCAGGGTACAGACCACAGCCGACAGTGTGTCAGATGAGGCAGATCTTCTTGTTAGGGGTGAGTATGTTCATAGTGCAGTCTGAAGGCATGATCACCATAAATTATCATACAAAGGAGATTAAATGCATGTACTTTGAGCACATCAGTACTGTGCATTATACTTCCAGTTTTACAATACATGTCTTTTTTTGTTTAACCTTTGTCTCTGAAAGAACCTAAATGGTAAATTGGGTCGTAGTTAATGACACAATCAACAAACCCAATGAGAAAAACCAAGGTATTTTCAGTAACAAGAAATTATAAACATCTTTATTTAGTGCAGTTTGGTGAATGGAACTGTCAACAATGCCAAACAGAATTTTAAAAATTAAACTCTTGAGTCAATAAGACATTTGGACTTTGTAAGTAAAATTTTTAAAACTGTTACAGCAAGTATACATATTGTTTCAGTAACTCTTAGATCCTGTTTTTGTGAAAGAAAAAAAAGAGAACTTCATGTATAACATAACATTTAGGCCTATTAACTAACAGGGGCCTAAAATATCTGAAGATGTTAACATAAAGACTATCTGTGAATAAATAGTGGCTAAAACTCACTGTTTTATTGAAATCACAGATCCAAACATATATATTTTAATCTTCCATATTTTGCTTCTTGAATATCATTGTGTATTGCATGTCATGATCTTTATTAATTCTCTGGCCATATAGCTTTCTCATTTTATCCAATGGTAGCAAATCCTTATGTTCTGGAATAACGTCTTGTCATTTATCTATCTTGCACAGTTCCCACTAATTATAAAATCATATTTAAAATCTCAAAATTGTGGAAATACTAAAGAGAAAATACAAAATATACGAGTTTTCCAATACTAGCATTTAGCCATTTCTATTCAAGTGTTTATTGACTTCTGTTTTATGTCCATTATTGGTAAAAAAAAAATGTTTCTAAGAGAAGAAATGTTATTTCCTCATGTGGGGAGACTCATTCACTTTTTTTAGGCTAACTGTGTTTCACTTGAGCTTATGTGGAGAGTATGCATCTTTATTATTGGCCTGTTATAAACATTTAGCTTACTCAGAGTGTTCATCCCTTTCATAGAAATCTAGTTACCTAAAAGTCCACCTTTGTGCTACATTAATGAGTCTTATAAACTACCTTCCCTTTCACAGCAGTCAAGTTTATGGAACAATTGCATTTCTTCAGCTCACCTAGTCTACTTTAGATTATCTCTGTTTATTCTTTCGTACTTGGTAGTCATTTAGAATGATGCTACTTCGATTGGAGCATTTCAAAAAAAAGGAACAATGCAATTTGGACTCCCTTATTATTCTTTTTGGATATTGCAAGGGGTGAATTGAAATAGCATGCTCACATACTGCTTTGTAAGTAAAATTAAACTAAACAAGGCTTGGAACATTACTCAAGTTTGGCTGTTTCATGTTCTGCTCATCTAGCCTTTGGCTTTATGCCTAGGAAATGATAGAATACATAAATTCCAGAATTATACTTGATAGCAATTTCAAACAGGTTGCTATTGTCTGAATATTCATGTAACATTCAACTCAGGAGTTTTCACTTTGCTAGTTTGATCAAGTAGCCAATTTCCTATTATATCTTTGTATTATTCCTCTAAAATTAACATAAATGGCTAAGTAAATACTATTGTGTTGTCCAATTGGACCAAACCAGATCTAAGCACTGAGTTGACAGTTGTTCTGGTCTTCTCTCCCCTCCCCTTCACCCTGACACACACACAGTTTTAAATCAATAATTCCTAGTGACTAATAGATATTAGATGGTTGGGAGTTGTTTATTTTTATATAGAATTTTAATATAGCCTTCATATATCCCTCTCTCTTCCTTTATGCCTCCATTCACTGGTATAAAATGTCTGGTATTTATCCAGTTCCAGGCTAGAGGATCAGAGTGAAGCTTTTTAGGTTAAATCATTTATGATGCTAGCCATGATTTCAATAGCAGAGTCAAACAAAAGGTTATTTGGAAGTATGTCATATAAGAATGGGGAGAAAAAAAGGGAATTCCATTATTTGTTTATCTCTTCTGTAGGAGGTGATCACTGTATTAGATTTAAGGATTAAGGATTTCAGGAAGTGAGTGAACTATGTTAGCCCTGGGATTAAACCAGTATGGGGAAGAGAATGTTCCCATCCCTCTTATACACTATAAGTGGAGATTTAGGAAATCTACATATTTCCGTATAAGAAATTCTATTTCTCCTGATCTCATCAAAGCCACTCAAAAGTTTGATTCTGCAGACCTCTAAATCTAGTAGTGCCTATGTAGACACCAACAATTTCTGCATGGTGCCTCTGATACATTAAGGACTATCTGCAATACTTATTTCCACTGTGACTAGGGCTATATGTTGTCCGTGAATATCAGCAGTGTTATTCGCCTCTAATCTACTATTATCATCTTCCAAAAATGGAATTTCCCCATAAATAATCATCTGAAGCATAAAAATCACTTGTTTTAAGCACTTAATATTCAGTGAAGCAGTATTATGATGGCATTATGCATAATTTGGAAAACCATAATAGAAGTAATGAATATGCTAGAGGAAATTATTCTGGTATGGTATAAAATGAAAAGGCGACACACCTGAACAACTGTCCACAATTTTAGAGACTTCTTCTAGTATGATATAACACTACAGAAGGTATGCATAGATGATACCATGGGGAACTCTTTTAAAATCAATAGAATTATAGTGCTTTATTGGGGAGGTATAGGGAGATAAAGAGGGGACAGAGAGAGGAAGAGAGAGAGGAAGAGGGGGTGGAGAGAGAGAGACATTGAATGTCACTGATGAGGATGTTTCATTGAAAAGAACTAAGACTCTTGGACAATTTAAAAAGAACTGTCACAATAAAAAGAACCTAAGAAGAGAAATATAAATTATTTTCTCGTATAATAATATAAATAATATGATTCTCAGATCACATAGAAAGATAATTTTATACTCAGGACATAAATACTGCTGAGGAAAGTAATGTATGGCTTTCAGGATCAAAATGAGTTAAATTTAAACAGTTAAAGAAAGGTTTAGGCAGAAGGTTCAGCTACCATCACATCCAGGGGAAGCTCCCAAAACTTTAAATTTTCATGATCTTCATTACTCTTGCTATTCTGCTTTGAAGTAGTTTTCAAAAGGGCACAGCTTGTGGGGTAATCTCTGTATTTTGGTGGTGAAGGTCTATTATGACTTGCTCTCAGAAAAAAAAATACCTTCTTAGTTCTTCTAGACATGTGTTCTCTGTGCCCTAAAGTTGGGTGAGAACTCCATTCATGTGAATATGCCTTCCTGGAATGCCTAAGAATTCACTGAGGCAATGAAGGTCAATTCAAGACAAACCTTTAACCCACCCTCCCTCAGCTTCTTCCTTGCAATGTACAAATCAAATGCTGCTTTTCAAACCAATTTATCTTTCTCCTCTCAAACTCTCACAGCCTATTTCTCCCTTTTAAAAATAAGTCCATTGAAATTTCATTTACTTTCCTTTCTTCACCTGATTTCTTTTGTCCAATAAGAGGCTGATGGTATGAACCTTGAACTCAAAAGAGAGTCTAGGAATGGGTATGTGAATCTAGGAGTCATCTACAAAGAGATGACAGTTGAAGCCAAGGAAACTGATGAAATCACAAACAGAGAGAATATAGAAAGACAGGTGGGTTCAGGAGAGCAACTTGTGATTCACCTGTCAGACAGTGGGCCATTGATGATGATCCAGTACAGAAGACAGAATGAGCAGGCAGACATGAAAGAGGAGTTTCATGAAAACCCAGAGAGGAGAGAATATCTGGGAGAAAAGGGTGGTCAACAGTATTAAATGCTGTAGAGATGTCAAGAAGGATGAGGACTGACAAAAAGGCCATTTTATTAAGTTACATACTATAAGGAAAATCTGTGCTAGATACTTGAGAAACAAAGACTGAGATCCCTCTCAGCTGTGATTTCATGTGATGTTTCCCCCTCGAGCTTACAGAACTGTACAACTTTGCACTGATGATCTTGTTATAACAGAAGGGAGAGTTGAAGGACTTTCTTTTCTCTGAATCCAAAAGTATAAAGCATTACTGTTCTCAGGCCCAAAGGAGGCGAATGTGGTTCAGGGAATGTTTGATAATACTTTCTGAATAATTGTGGTGAGGAGGAAGACAGCACTGATTTGTCTCAGTCTCAAATATCTCACATAAACAGTCTGTCTTTCACCTTGGAGTGAGCTATTATTTGGTTTCCTATTTACAGCACTGCACTAGTGAGACACAGAGGTCATGATAATAATAGAATTGATCCAAAAAGTTTAAATGTGACTACTTTTCAAAATTTCAAAGCACAAAAGTTCACAAAGTATTTAAAGCAACTTTTTTTATTGTTTTCCTTTTCTCACATTTGAGTATTGTGCAGTAAGTTGTTTCCGCAATTTTTGAAGGGTCTTTACATTCGATATTAGAGAACTGTACATACCTTCAGAATGATGATAGTTTCGGATTTTCCTTATCAGGAGGTTCCATTGTTAAGAATATAAACTTAGTAATGTTAAGAAGGGGAGCTGAGTTTGTCAATATGCTACAGTGTTTGGAGCCTGGGGGTAGGGAAGGAAATCTCAGTTAAGTTGAGGTGCAACGGAAATTACAATTAATTTCTCAAGTAATTTTCTTAGGTGTAATGAATAATACATTTACAAATCACTCTCATAATTGACCTTAAAGTTTTCAAAAACTATTTCTCATAACTCTGAGTCATATAGTACACTTGGTTTTGACAGCATTATATAGACAATTGAACTGAATCTCAGAATGATGGAGGGACACCTGGTGAAATGTCAAAGTCAAAAGTCCAATTTAAGTCTCTCCTACCTCTGATCCCAGTACTCTTTCCATTACAATGAATTGCCTCTGAATATTAATAAGTATTAATTAGGAAATGAATATTAATTAGAACTTAATTCACAAATAATTAATTTAAAACAAAATCTAAAGTAAGAGCAAATGTTTCTGTTCATTTGAAGTAAAAATATAAAAGGTCTTA